GGGAGCTCTGGTGGCCTAGTGGCAAAAAACTGAACTGCAATCCCAGAGGTGTGTGGTTCAAATCCACCAGATGCTCCGTTGGAGAAGGAGGGGGCAATCTCCTCCTGTACCAGTCAGATCGGATTTGACGGTACATGCACAAAATATAATAAAATAGAATTTAAAAAATTGCTGGGACTGATGATATGCTGGCTATATCTTTCAGAATATTTTTGTACATCTTCTACCCTTTGTTTTACCTGCTGTTCACTTAAGTTTATTTTTGGGGTTTGGGTTTTGAAGTTGCATTGAAGACCCTTATGCAGCTGACCTTAGGAGCTTTGGATAGCCATCTAGAAGGTTTGGAAATAGATCTAATTAAGGTGACTGAGAATGAGTAGTTTAGAAATTTTTCTTTTAGTAGTTGATTAAAGCTCATAAATTTCCTCATGGTGTAAAATTAATTAGGATGTTCGTTTTTATAAGAACAGTTCTAGAAAAAGAAAATAGTATTTATCAAGACCTTGGAGCAAAGTTTCCCCAGCATTTTAAAGGAGTAAAAGAAAATGCCACATGTCTTTTTTTTTTGTTTCCTTTTTAAAAATTCATTTACCATTTTATTTCTTAAAATCATAAGCTGTGTTCAAGTAGGATCCTTATCATCTTTTCCCTCCACTTTATCTCCAGTGCCTAGTGAAGCTTTCATGCCATCTCATAAGTATTTGTTGGATGAATGCAGGTCGTTCCTAGAGCCTTTGCCATTGTAATAAGCATTGTATATAGTAAGCATTGTTGCCTGCTAAAAACAGAGCAATTGTATTCAGCCTTTCCCAATCTTTATGGGCTTGTCTTTGAGCACTGTACTAGAGCCAGATTCCTTGAAATACACCGTATCATCTTATAGAATTCCATAAGTTAGGTAAAAAAGTTTTAAAGTTCCACAGAACACTGAGTGACATTTTGCATTGTTGGGATCATGGTATGTAGAGGATAGTGTGTGTCAGGGGAGCTGCGAGGCATCTTTGAATTTACAGTCTTTGGCTTAATTGTTTGACACTAGAAGCCTCATTTTACTAAACTGTGAGATTGTTTTTGTTGTGGTAGTGGTAGTGTACGGTCAGGTTAGAACCAACCCATAGCTGACCCTCCAGCAGGTTTTCAGAGGCTGTAAATCACATAGGAGGAGACTGTCCATCCTTCTCCCATGAAGCAACTGGTGGATTCAAGCCATGTGCCTTTGGGGTTGCAGCACAACTTTTTACCACTGGGCCACTATAGGCCTACTAATTGTGTTTATTTTACTGGTTTGTTGGAAAAAGAAATGACATTTAGTCCCACTTTGTAATGCTTTAGAATGTCACACTTGGCTAACCCAAAATCCACACCCATTGCTGTTAATTCCAACTCATAGCAACGCTTGTCTAACAACCGTTGTTGTTCTAAGCTGTAGACTTAGGCCTGACCCATAGCTGACTTGCTAGGGGGTTTTCAGAGACAGTTAATCGCACCCAAGGAGATTGCTCATCCTTCTCCCTCAGCACCTGGGGGATTCCACCATGGGGATTCCAACACTAATCTTTACAGACGCCGACAGCTATGTCTTCCTTGCTTCTGAAGAGTGGCTAGTGGCTTTGAACCACTGACCTTTTCAGTTGTCAGTTAAGTGCTTACCCACTCAGGGACCCTTAGTCATCATCACACAAACACAGTGCTGAAATTTTCCAGATAGCACAGCTGATTACGTGGCCTTCAAGTTAAAATATGCCTAATCTGTCTCCCTCCCGCCCTGTGTACACCCTCTCCAGCAAATATTGGAATGTTTTTCGTGTGCCAGGCACCACATTGTTCATTCTGGAGGAGACCTGGTGGACAGTCAGCGAAGGCTCTTCCCTGAGGACCTACAGGGACTTCCTTAATATAATGTGTTTACTCTGTCACTGTCTCTTAGAACACGAGTAAATGTAATTGTACATAATTCACTTAAAGTTAATTGTTCGGAGACCTTTAGTGATCCACCCCAAAGGATCACTTTTTTCTCTCACAATTGGTTCTTGCACAAAACAAGGAAAGCCGAACTCATGGGTCACACTTTAAAATAAAATAATAAAGGGCAATGTGGTGTTGCTCGCTGTGGGGAGTCTGACCGAAAGTTGTACACAGGACAGCTTCGTCCTCAGCGTCACCATTGGCTGGCCAACACCATAGGGCTGCCAGATCGACAAACACAAATACACAAATACCTGTCCAATTCCAGTTTCAGAAAAAGAAAGGATCATTCTTTGAAATGTATGTCCTATTAACATAGGGGATACGCCAAGGAAAAAGACCAGTTGACCAGGTGTTCCGATGTAACTGATGCCTATGTTTTATCGGGCCCTGTTGACACTCCAGAGTCCCAGCCTCTTACCCAGAGGCCGGCTTTGCCTGGACTCCCTCAGCCACGCTTGCTGCCACCTTTGTGGAGAAGAGGTTTTCCATAAACAGAATCACAGCCTTTCCTTCTTTTGAAAATGATTTATAACTGTTCCCGCTTGATCGCCAAGTGTTTCTAAATTAAAGGCCATTAATTAAGGCCTTATATAGATACAAAAATATGCAAGGAGTGCTTTGTCATTCCAGCTCAGTACTTCAGGTGAGAGCTTTTCAAATTACGTGGACCACTGGAGCCACCTGCTTGACTAAACGCTGCAGCCAGTGGCAGGCTGATCCCGGCCGTGAGTTGTTACTGATTTTTCTCATTTCTCCAGGGCAAATACTAATTAATGGATACAATTCACAGCTGATTAGCTGTAGTTTCTTCAGTAATTACATTCGCATACTAACTGTTCAGAAGAGGATTTCTAACCCAGTTCTTATTTCACTCTAAGCTTAATTTGTTTTTTTGAATTGTTTAGGCCCTACTTTAATAGCCATTTTATTTTTTCTTTGTTGTTTTAGGTGCTATTAGATAATAAGTGAGTTTAATCTTAAGAAAAAGAAAAAGACTCTCTGATAATGAGCTGTCTGCCATAAATAGATTTCTAATTCTCCAACAAAACCTACATTTAAATAACGTTAAGTTGTGATACCAGGAGGGAGGGAAGTTTGGAAAGCCAGGACTGGTGCACAGAGTCCGCAGCACTTGCCTAGGCACTCAAGACACTCCCAAAGGAGCCAGCTTTAATTCTGGTATCATAAGGTTAGAAGAATGCCATGGCCTGTGTTCGACACAGTGTGGAGAGAGTGTGCGTCCAGGCCTGTGTGCATTGCACACCCCTTTATGAACTTGTGATACCACACCCACCTGAGAAACCAGACCAAGGCCTTCCTTAAGCTCTAACAAATAAATGATTCAGAAGCCCCTCTCCAGAGGTTTATCCACCTGAATCTCAGTATCAGGAAGGGCTTTTCTGATGGTTTTCTGCGTAGTTGTGCGTTTAGGTGTCGTTTTACAGATCTGGACTGGAGATCTTGGGAACATTCTGGAACCTTGAGAATCATTTCTAGAAATCCTGCTCTTGTCCTCAAGTCCCTGACACGATAAAGTATAGGGTGCCCATACTCAAATCCTACAGATTCAAACTTGGACACGAAAAGTATAGGATATCCATACTCCCAATCCCGAATCCTGCAGATTCAGACTCGGACATGAAGATCCCCCAAGATAAGCGTGTGTCGGTGTGTGGAGATGAAGCGTGTGTGGGTATTCTACGTGTTCTCCATACCTGTCGATGTGGTCACCTCCTTGGGAAAATGGTGCCCAAAGAATTTCTAGCTCTATTTAGGGTTTGCAAGAGAGAATTGAGGGAGCCCTGGTAGCACAGTTAAAGCATGCAACAGCCAAGCATACAAGTCAACAGTTTGAGTCAGTCACACTTGGAGGGAAAGGATGTGCAATCTGCTTCTGTAAAGACTCATTGCCTTGGGACCCTGGGGTGGACTCTGCTTGGCCCTTCCAGAGCCCCTCTGGGTCAGAAAGCCCCTCCTTGGCAGTGGGTTTGGCTTGCTTCACTGAGATTTGAGACCACCCCCGTGCTTTATTTGAGGTCGTAAAGGAGAGGATACACTTGATAAAAAAGAAGGCAGTCTTTTCCCATTTAGAAATCATGAGAAGAAAATAACGTAGGTAATTGTACGCACAGAGCCTTTCCATCGTGCCAGACGGAGAGCAGAACGTTTGAAGTACCAAACCTCCCCCTCCTCATACTTAAACCATTCCAGTCTGAAAACACGTTCCAGCAAAAATCCAAGTTTAACATTTTGATAACAGGCTCCTAGAAGTAAAGAGCTTATGTCTGAAATGCTGATACAATCTTATTTGTGATGGTAAGAATGGGCTATTGTGTTAGGGAATTAAAGAAAAATTGCTGTGTTCATAGAATTCCGCTTATTTTTTAAACCTCTTTGCACTTAATGTTACATTGAGAGATTAAATAACACTGTTTTCACCAACTCAGATGGCTGCAGATACCGTTTTAAGCACTGTTTGGAGGTTTAAAAAAAAAAGAAATCTTTAGCCTTATTAGTTATTTATATTCCTGCCACACCCTATTCAGGAGAAAATAGAATTGGAGTCCTGGGAATTGAATTTCATTCACTTTAAATCACATTTTAACCTACCCACATTTGTGACATCTATTCTTGAAAAGCAAGCTGTGAAATCCCAGTATACTTTAAAAATGTGTCAAGGTGATTTTCTTGGAAACTCTTTTTCTTCTAACCTTTGGTGAATGCCAGTTCAGTGAGCTGCACATGCTAGTGACCAGCTGAAGGTTTGCGATCCGACCCCTTCCTTCCTGTTGCTCGTGATGAGAAACACAACTATTTTCTTGAATTTGTTAAGTAGCTTTTTTCTGTGCTTAGTTTTGGGAGGAACTAGCCAGCAGTGTTGCGTTGTGCTTTGAAATTTTGATCATATTTGACATATGGCCTTTCATACCTTAACGACTACGACTTTCTAAATCACATCTGAAAAAGTGAATAAAGTGCCATTATTCTTCATTATGCTACATATTTACATAATATGATCTCCTTTCTTGTAGTTTGGAAATAACAACAACTACATGAACATGGCTGAAGCTAACAATGCATTCTTTGCAGCCAGCGAGGTAGGTATCTGCCTTTTTTGTGTGTTGATGTTTCCTGTGATAGATTATTTAATAGGTTTGCAGGGGAAACAAAGTATCTGATTTTTTTTTCTTCTCCCCATTGTGATACAAAGTAATGACTGTCAGGTAGAAATTAAGGTGTTTCTTATCATTTGCCCATAGATTGTTACTGACAGTGGGAAATTCACATAATTCATTATCTTGATGGAGAAAATGTCGATGCAAACAAAAATTTACATATGAGAAACAATAGACACAAGTAAGGAAACAGATTGTTGGTATCTAGGCAGATATCAGGTTCTTTTGGAAACCAGGCTGGTTGCAACTTTTTATAGAAAATATTTTAACTTTTTTATCTGGAGGATTTATTTAAGATATTGTGATTTGGGAAACATTATGACAATCGTGTTATAGTTTCTTTCGTTTTTGATGCAAATGATGATGAAATAGGTATTTTATATTTTTCTAGATCTTCCCAGCCTAGTGCAATGCCTGGCACAATGTAGATGCTTCGTAAATATTTGTTGAATCAGTAAATGAGAATGCTCCAAGACTGGTTTGACTTCAGTTTATGGATACAAATAGGATAAACATCTTGTGGGTGTTTTCACTGCCTCCACTACTTACTGATATAGATCTGGTTTCATTGAAGAGAAACCTTGATCTCAGCTAGATCGAGAAACGGGTTCCCTAAAAATGGTAGACTGTGAGATTCAACACATAGGAACAAATGGAAGTAAAATTGGTCCAAATGGAAGGAACATTTCCTCTTGTGGTTCATGTAATAAAGAGTCTTCATTTTCCAAATATCTTCACATATAAGAAACTGAACTGGTATGACCCCAGAGAATGAAAATAATAATGGCTTCGTTAAGTGGTCTTGGTACAGAGAAGCAAGTTATATGAAAAGAATTAACTGAGAAATTATGAGGATAAATGGATAGTCGAGAATTAGGGTCGCTCAAGATTTATCATTTTTACAGTGACCATAAACTCTGTAAGCAAGAAGACAGTTCAGGAAAGGGAATATTGTTTGGCACTGGCTCCTGTGTTGTTTGTGATAATGAACACAAACCCCATCTGTAAAGACAACATGATGTTTCATTCTGTAGGATTTTTTTCCCGTACATTTGAATCAAACATTGATGAAAGCTCTACTGCCAGCAGCTGTTCAGAGACAATTTAATTCCAGCTGTGATAATTCACCGTGTCAGACATTGGCTGTTATATGTTGATACAACAGTTCTCCAGAATTTGCATTTTTATCAAAAGGAACAAATGTTTTGAACATTTCAGTACAGATGGTATTTAACCATGTACATAGTACTTTAACATGTTCAAGGTAAACACTGGAAGGTCAATCTCTGTAAAATGCAATCATGTACAATGCTGGATGATTAATCTGATGTGGGGTTGTTTTTGTTTTTTTTTTCTAATCTCAGTCTCTGTTTTGGGTTTCTCTTTTCTCAGAGGAGTATTTAACTTTTAATATATAACCTGTCTCTGAAGGTGGTTTAAAATGTTAGCGTTTTCTTGGTTATACATTATGGCTTCATTTTATTTTATATGTATATATAAATTCTAGGTTGAAATTTAAAAATTACACCATAGGGAAAGATTAGGTGTGATAACTTTCCCGTCTTTCTTTAACAAAAATAAAAATTAAAATCCCCTTAACTTTGACTGCCTCTAATAAGAAGTGGTTTTCATGTTAGTGCTTGAGAGGTAATCTTATGTAAGGATTTCACTGTGCATCATTTCTTGAGCAAAAGGAAAGCCCCAGTAAAATGTTAATTTGCTGTGTTCCGGCATGTGCCTGATTTCTCAATCACTACATTAAACATAAATTTATTTGGCTTTTCTTAAGCCTTTTAATGAGTGCCACCTAATTCAGGAAAACTTTAGGTTTGAATGCTAAAAAGTGTAAGTTGTGCTTGAAGCCAGTTCCCTTCACATGGCGATTGCCCTGTGGATAACACTACAGGGACTAGGGTGTTCTAGATTTGAAATTCACACGTATACTTCCTGTTTTCAATCTGTGTCATGGTTACCATGACCATTTTTTTTAAAGTACCTTAAATATTTATTGAAATAATATTTCAAGTGTTAATTACAGTGGTAATGAAAACAGCCAAATGCCACATATCAAGAATGAGTGTTTATCCGTATTGTTAATGTGATATGTTAGATTTCATTAAGCAGTAATGGGGTAGCAAATGAGTCACAAATTACAGTTGCATCTGTTACTAGACCACATTAGTGCCAAAATAACGGTGAATGCTGCCTTAGGGTTACGTTCATTAGCCAACCACATTTGTGGCCAATTCATCCCTTTGTGTTTGCGAATTCAGTGTCACAGTAAGAAGTTGACATCTTTGAGGGTCACTATTAAAATAGGCGTGTAAGAAAAATCTCACACTTAGCTCCTGTCTTCGTGTCTTTTATTATACTGTGATATCTTTTAGTCTATTACATTTGCTTAAAATTTCAAGATGTTTGATTGTCCAACCACAGCCTCTCAGTGCCTTTTTTCTTTCTGGTGAATTACAAGTAATGACAGCCGACAGATTGTAGGTACTAGAAAAAAAACAAAAACAAAAAAAACCGCACAAAACATTTTTCCTTTTGAGTTTGTTTCTATTTTTTCTCCAGTAGGTACTAAGCTGTGGTATCCTTGATTTTCATCTCCTAACTATATATTCTCTAGCTGATGATAGTAGCAGATTGAAATAATCTGGCACCAAATCATTCTTTCAAATACTGTACATAATAAATGAACGCAAACCTGGAACCTATCTGAGTACCCACCTCCACCTCCTTTACCCCACCAAATATTTTACACCTCAACCTCTACTACCCCCCAACTTCCCCTTTTCCCAAATGGTAAAGCATTTAAGAAAAAAGGGTCAGTGTGTTTGGGCCAGGCAAGTCCTGATATGCATCAGTACATTTAAAACACTGTCTTTAAGAATCTAAGTAGCATTGTAAGAAAACCAGAATGCCTTAAGATTTGGATTGTGAGAAATAGTGTTTTCCCAAGTGAATGAGCGACACCATAGTGCTTAGTATAACTATCCGGCTCTGTACTCATGCGTATGAAATCAGGGAGGAAATGTTCAGAGGAATATATACTAAGTGTTCCTGTAAAAGAAAACACTGCCCTTGTAGCTGAATAAAAGCACTGGTACCTTTTAGGATATTGTTGTTGTTGTATGTTCTCGAGTCAGGACAAACCCTCAGTAGTCAACCCTCTGGGGTGGGGTAGGGGTTCAGAGGAAGTGAATTGCATGGGAGGCACTTGCCTCTCCTTCTGCTGAGCAGCTGGTGGATTTAAACCTTGTGCCTTTGGGATTGCAGTTCAGCTTCTTTCCACTAGGCTACCAGAGCTCCCTCCTTTACATAGAAGCAATGTTAATTGTAGTATAAATGTTATGTTACAAACAGTACTGGTTTTCATAAACACATTCATTGCACTTGGGAATATACCAGTAAGAAAATGAAAAGAAAACATACACAAATTTAATATTGCACATTTTATATGTTGTAGCAAAAATAAATAAATAAATATGTTCACTTCTGGCTTAATGTTGTGTGTGTACCACAAAATCACCGGCGTTTTATGAAGCATGCAGATAATGTAAGCCATTCACAAGCATGTCAATAAAGTGGCAATTTGTTATATAGCCAAATCTGATGTCGCTGATGCTCCAAGAAACAACAAAGACAGATGTTGCTAATTAAGTACGCATTAAAAAACTGTTAATACTGATACTCCATTAAAACCATATGATAATGAGACTTAAATCTTTAATCAGAATGATCAACAAAACTTTATATATGAAAATCTGTTTAAAATGTTGCATTTAAGAAATAAATACTTGGCGTAGATATATAGTGTTTACATGCAAAGCTCTTCCCTCACAAATATAAAGACGACATCTGTATTTTCTCTCTCTTAGCAGACATTCCATACGCCAAGCCTTGGGGATGAGGAGTTTGAAATCCCACCCATTACGCCTCCTCCAGAATCAGACCCTGCCCTGGGCATGCCCGATGTACTGCTACCCTTTCAAGGCCTCAGTGACCCTCTGCCTTCCCAGGGAAGTGAATTCACACCCCAGTTTCCACCTCAAAGCCTGGATCTTCCTTCCATTACAATCTCAAGAAATCTCGTGGAACAAGATGGTGTTCTTCCCAGTAGTGGGTTGCACATGGTAAGTACCACATATCTTTCTTAAAAGTGTTAACATCTTGCATTTCTCACAGTGGCTCTGAGAACCCACAGGCCTGTGGCTTGTTATGTCTTATACCATTTGTTATTACGTGTTGAGAAGTTGTCTGTGACTGACTCGTAGGACCTTGCAAACACCAGCTTGGAACCTGACCTGATCTTGAGCCAATCTCACAGTCTCCGACACACCTGCTCCCATTGCCACAGTGACTGTGTCAGTCCATCTCATCCAGGAGGAAGCACCTTCAGTCTTCCAAGTCTGGTGGTCTTCTCCAAGAACTGGTCCTTCCTGGCAGCATGCTCAAAGTATCTGAGAGGGAGCATCAAAATCCTTGTCTTCATGCTCTCCAGAACAGACCTGTTTGTTCTCTTGGCAGTTCGTGGTATGTTCAATACTCTTCTCCAGCACCACAACTCAAAGGCGTCAATTCTCCTTCCATCATTCTTAGGCATTGTCCAGCTCTCTGATGCATAGCAAGTAATTGTGAAGACCGTGGCCAGGATCAGATGCACCTTATTCTCTAGAATGACATTGGTGCTTTTCGGTGCTTTAGAGAGGTCTCTGACAGGAAACTTTTCCAGTGTAGCTCATCTTTTGGTTTCCTGACTGCAGGTATGAAGGGTGTTGATCGTGGATCCAAGCAAGCTGAAATTGTTGACAATCTCGGTCTCTTCTCCATTTGTCATGATGTTGCCAGTTGACCCAGTGGTGAGAATCTTTGTTTTCTTGATGTTGAGCTGCAACGACATTGAAGACGACATTTCTTGACCTTCTGCAGCAAATGCCTCAGAATCCTCTTCAGTTTCAACAAGCAAGGTTGTGTCACTGCGCATAACATGTTGATGAGTCTTCCTCTAATTCTAGTGTCACATTCCTCCTCTTTAAAGCCCAACCTCTCAAATGGTCTGTTTCATGTTTAGATTGAAAGGGTAGGATACATAGATCAGATCCAACCCTACTTGACAGACTCCTTTCTTGATTTTTAAACCATAAAGTATTTCCTTGCTCTGTTCAGATGGCTGCTTCCTGGTCTAAGTTTTGCATGAGTGCAATCAGGTGTTCTGGATTTCTGTTCTTTTCACGGTTGTGAACCACACAGTCAAATGTCTTTGCATAGTCAGTAAAACATAAATAGACATTCTTCTGGTACTTTTTGCTTTCAGCCTAGATTCATCTGATATTGGCAGTGATGTCCATAGTGCCACAGCCTCTTCTAAACCCAGCCTGTATTTCTGGCAGTTTTCGTCATTTTTGGATAATCTTCAACAGGATTTTGCTTGCATGTGAATTAGTGATATTCAATAATTTCCACACTCTGTTGGATCACCCTTTTTGGGAATGTGAATAAATATGGATCTCTTCCAGTCAGTTTGACCAGGTAACTGTTTCCAGATTTTTTGGAACAACCTGGGAAGCATGTCTATGGCTGCATCTGTTTATTGAAATATGTCAGTTGATATTTCATCAATTCCTGAAGTTTTGTTGTTTGCCAATTCCTTCAGAACAGCTTAAACTTATTCCTTCATCCCCATCACTTCTTGGTCATATGTTGTTTTATTAAATTCTTCTGCATTGACCACGTCCTTTGGTACAGTGACTTTGTGTATTCTTGCTATCTTCTTTTGAGGCTTCCTAGATCATTCAGTATTCTGCCCATACAATCTTTAAATTCTTGCAACCCAAGTCTTTAATTTATTCTTCAGTGCCTTCAGCTTGAGAAAAGCTCAGTGTTTGTCGCTTTTGATCTTACGATGCCAGCTATTTGCGCATTTTATTATAATGGTTTGCTTTGCCTTCCCAAGCTGAGTTTCGAAATGCTCTGTCCAGCTTCTTAACATCTGATTTCTTCCATTTGCTTTGGCTTCTTACCACTCGAGTGCAGTATTCAGAGTCTCTTCCGACATCTATCTCAATCTTTTCTTCTGTCTTTGTAGTCTGTCTTTTGCATTCTTCATGAATGATACTTTCCTCAGATTTTCTTATTATTGATATTTTAATGAGAGTTTAAAGAAAACTTGGATTTCCATTCAGTGAATGATCCTTTCTTTTTTTTTTTTTCAATGAATGATATTCTTGATGTCTTCCCACAGCTCGTATGGTTTTTGTTCATTAGTGTTCATGAGCTCAAACTTCTTCCAGAGATTATTTTTAAATTCAGGTGGTACAGACTCAAAGTCAGATTTTGGTTCTTAGGGATTTGTCGTCATTTTCTGTAGCTTCCATTTGAACATGCACATAGTCGATGGTCTGTTCCACAGATATTGAGCAAGGGGACATTCATTGGTTGACAGTCACACGAAAGAGGCCATAAGTCTTGGACCAATAAGATCCTCCTTAATTGAAATGAGTTGTAACAATCTCATTTATTGGTGTGGAGTCAGCCTGTGTCTTTCCATGCCATTGATTTTAGCACAACACTGTGTGCTTGAGCCTACTTTACTAGTCCTTATCACGTGTCTCAGTCCTTCCCATTCATGAAACATACCTTGTGCTTAGCCTCAGGTGAAATATCAGACAGTGATACAAAGGAAAGGGGAAACATCACTTATACCCAGCAGAGGAAAATACAGAGCAGGTTATTTTGTGAGATACACCTAATTGTGTTATTTATTGTCATAAACATTGAATGCGGCGCTCCAGGGAGCTGAGCTTACTAATGCAATAATTTTGGTTCCATTTTTCTGAGTGTGCAATTATACTTAGCATCCACTAGAGTAAATCTACTTAAGTCTTTTTTAAACTCTTCTCCTGGAATTGTTTGTTTGCTTGCATTTGTGTCTATCTGGGTGAATTATTAAGCAGACATTTTAAAACAAGATTAATGGTTTATAGGAGTTTTTTTTTTGTTTGGGTTTTTGTTTTTTGCTTTTTTTTTTTTTTTAACAGTGGTAAAATGAAACAGATGTGTTGATTTAACAAAAAACAAATCCTATGGCTTGTTTACATATTTCTCTGCACATTACGATCATGCTAGTGATGTTTACTGGTTTCAGTTGTTAATTCCCCAGAGAGCAGCGGATGATGGCAAAATATGAAGTCGATTAACAGTGCCGAGATTCAGTGTGCTCTCTGAAATATGAGATTACTTTTCCGAATAGGATTGTGGCAACATCATTTTCTTTGCCTCTCATCTTTTGTGTTTGAGCTAAACATCAGGGCTGGCATTTTTGCTTTTTTGATCAGAAAAGAATGTGGTAAACAATTGAGAGGTGGCCGTTAAGTAGCCATAAGCATTTGCCTTCTCATCGCAAATAATTGTTTCCTCTGAGCTTTTTCCATCTTTTGTCCCTTTGACACTAGAATGGAGGCTTTTGCCCCCCCCCCCAGTCACACTTACTGTGTGGTATCTAGAAAATAATAAAGATTAAAAGGATGTTTAGTCACCAAGGGAGGTTGCCACATGTCTCTTGCTTTTCAGAGACGCTCGGGGAGGCTAGTTGAAGTTGGGGAAATCGTTAAAAGACCATATAATGTATGCTAAAATGTGCACTTTATTAAATTGGTAAATATTTATTAATCATATAAGAATCTGCCTTTAAATTAAACATCTGATGAATTACCTTGCCTTAAAGCTATAAAACTGTTATTGCTGCTATAAAAAAGTGTAAAGGAGGCATTTTGACTATGAAATTTCATTTCATGGTCAATTGAATTTACTATATTGGAAAGAACTAAAGATGGAATCATAAAATAATTATGATATTCACATACACTTAAAGAACAATGCTTTCACTGGCTGGCACTGGGGAAGAGGACTCAATTTTTAATGCTTCTCTTGTAATGTATTGCTAATCACTAAGACAGTTGAATTATTTCATTGATTTTTAAAAGTATAGGTACTTGAGCTAAGTGCAGCCTGTTGTCATGATATTCACATGAAGCTCGGCATATTTGTTGGTGCCTTTTTGAAGTTTTACTGAACCAGAGGCTCTTTGTTTGGATTTGAAACACACTAATCTGGTTGAAGATTCTAGTAGAATTTCACCTTGTAAAATTGTCATGGGATTTTAAATCACAAATGTTGGGAGGGGGGAGAAAATGTACTGGGACAGAATTATGATGAATACAATGTGTCGTTGGCTTTGTTCTGTGCACTACCTGACATGTTCACCTATAAACTTGAATTCAGAATCGCCAGAGGCATGGTTAAAAATAGGTTATGTCAAGGTTCTTCTATGTCTCCCTCCGGGTATGAGTTGACTGGCTACATCATAATACTCCACAGCAAGACTCATCTGAGATTTCCCTTAGGAAGGTCACCAAAAAAAGAATAAATAATCCTGTATACATCATGCATTTATCTTCTTGGTGTGCACCAGATCATACCTTAGGCAAGTCAAAAGTTTCATTATCCAAATGAATGCGACCGATGGTTAAGGATTGCTGCTGTGACTTAAGACTATTAGGCAGAGGAGCAGCCTGTGTGGATTGTAGTGAACCACCTCTCCTTCGGAGCCTCAGTGGTTTTTTCTTGTAGAAAGAGTGACAGTTCCTTACATTACTGATGAGCTGCATTGTTGACAACAAGCGTAACATGTTTCTTTTGAACTCATGCCATTATGTTTAAAAACAGAACACAACAAAAATGTGGGGGGGGGTTAGAGAGAAAAGATTCCAACTCTTAGCATTCCCATTCCAAAATATGCAAATATATGCCCTGTTTTCAAAGGCGAATTGCTGAAAAATTGAAGGGCCATGCATTTGTGACTTCAAAGAACAACTTGATTTGCTTGTTATGGATCAGTATATTTTAAAACAGGATGTGGTTGGCCAGTTGAAATCAACCATTTATTTTGGTTTGAGAAAAAAAAAATCCATTACCTCTGTGAGTGATCAGTTTAGATGATCATCTGGCAATTATTTTAATCTACAAAAGATTACAATTCAAAAAAAATCTACAAGGTGTACTCCCCAGGGCTCTTTTCTTTCTTTCTTTCTTTTCCTTTTTCTTTTTTTTAACACCTCTCTATAATCTGCCCAAC